TGCATGGTTGCCTCAAAAACGGGTATTTCATTTACAGCACTATGCGATCATTTCTGCTGTCTCCGCCAAAAGGTCACTGGCTGTTGTAAATCTCTGCAGGTTTTTCAATGTCATCAGGGCCCTTATATGATTTACTTTCACAGTGCATATGATCCAATGTAAGATGTAACTAAAATGCAGGAAGTCAATTTGTTGTCAAGAAAACCATAAAACAGAAATTTATGTTACCCTGTAAAGTATCCCTAAGCTTAGTATCTCTAAGCAAATGGTGTCAGTAAACCATTCTTTAATGTTAAAAACAGGCTGAGGTAAGGATACACACACCGATTAATCCCACATTAAGTTCCCCGTCTCCACATGTCTGCTTCATGACTGAGGCCCTGTGGATTCCTGTCTCTGTTTGACTGAACGTAAACAATCACTTCATATTTGTTGAGACCTTTAACTGTAAGTCTAGTGACATTTCAGTTGGCTGAAGTACTGTCATCTAAATTACTGTGGCCCCTAGCAGAGGTTAGTTTTTCTTCGTTCTGTTGTCTGGCCTCTGCTGTCATTGCTAGTAATGTGACTGAACGTTTCTGGATATCAGGAGGCAACAGGCTGAAGGAAATTTCATTCATCTGTAGGTGTCTTAGTTACAGGGGTGTCTGAGTAGGGATATTAATACTGTGCTGCTGTATTTAATTTTTGTTGGTTTAGATGAAATATCCAAGAAGTCAGGACTCATTTTCAGCATTTTCACGGATTTCAAAAGTTTTTTGTTTGTTTGTTTGGTTTTGCTTTTTTTTGTTGTTGTTGCTATTATCTGAATGATTTCCAGGAAACCAAAGTGGCTGTTAAATAATGTTGGCAGCTAGATACCAGTACAGTATAATTGATTCATTAGGCTTTTTTTGTTTGTTTGTTTCTTTATTTAGCTGGTTAGGCTGGGAAATAAGCTAGTGGACCCACTAATACTAGTCTTGTGTAACTTGTTTCGATCATAAGAAGGCGAATTCATAGATACTAGACATGAAATAGTTACTTATATGAATGTGTGGTTTATCGTAAGCACGGATAAAAATAGTCTATAATACAACAGATTAAATACAACACAGCAATAATATACACACTGGCCTGAAGAAAATGGGTGTTCATTCAAAGAAGGTTTTCCTATGAATTAATTAGTAGAACAGTCCATTTCTCCTGTGCATTTGTACCCCTTGTTTCTGGAGAAAGCAGAATGAGAGCCGGCTCGCATTCCACAAGGTTGTAAATGTATCGGGTTACCATGAAACCAGGGTCTTGTTCGGCGTCCTGGGGTGTTACAAAGTATTTGTGAAATCTAGCTAACAAAATATATATTGTGTGTTGGAGTGTTCCAGACGCTACACCAGACCTTTGCTGGACCTCAAGGTTTTGTAAATATTGCAGTTCATTCTGGAAGCAGGATGAGCAGATTGACTGACATGTACAGCGACCAATCATAGTTCATACAAAACTGAGGATCTTTCAAAGATTTTATCTTACTAAACTTGCAACAAATCTAGGGATTTTCATCCTCAAAAGCACTTGCTGTGTCATCCTGGTACCTTGTAAACACAAGTTTGTTTTCAGACAGACAGGTTAAAAAAACACCTCAAGGTTTCAGTGGGTCCTCAAGTCTTGATTTGGTCAAATTTAAGGCAATCAAATGTCTCAAATAGTGTGAGAAAAGTCTTAATTATTTTAAGACGTCTTTAATTTGAAGATGGAAAAGTCGCTGCGATATAGGGTTGGGCTGATAGACGATGCCATCGTCCATCGCCTATGGCTGACAGACATCACGATGTTGAGCCAGCATCATGATCTAGATATTTGTCAGTGGTGCTCAGTATCTGCAAATCATTCGTCATTGTCCTATCAGTCATCTCTCCTTACTCTGTGTATGTGGTAAGGAAACTTTCATGTACTGTAATGTAACCGTTTACTGCTAGCAAGCAGCTAACCATGTCCCTTTAGTGGCTCTGTAGATCGCGTTATTTGTTTTCCGTGCCTCACAACAAAATGCAGAGATGGAGTTTGAGACACTCCACACATGTAAATGATAACCGTTCCTGTGGAACTACTGTGAACGGAGCCGCTGTGTGATGCACGTACTTAACCTACACGCATGTAAATAATTAAAGCACATATACTGTATTAGAACTGCATCGCATATAATTATTTAATTAAATCGTAGCGTTTCTGAATTCACAATTATGCTTAATTATGATTTTTAAATGGGTGTAATATATCATGCAGCCTTGGGAAACAGTCTACATGTGTTTTATGGATTCTCGTCCGTGAAATGCGCTGCTTTTGGTATTTTGCCGGTTAGTCGACACAAGCAAAATGAAGTCGATGATTTTTAAAAATCTAATATTTTGCCGGTTAGTCGACACAAGCAAAATGAAATTTTTTAAAAATCGAATAGTCGAATATAATCGACAAATCGCGACAGCCCTAGTAGAGTCAGAGTGCATATTTTATGTCTCATCTATTTGAATGAGCAGCTGGCTATTACTGGTATTTTGGCATTTAAATCAACGTAAACTCTTGTGGCTTCTCTCTGGACCATCCTGTCACAGGAAAGAAAGATTAAGAAAGACTCTGTACAATAATCTTTATATTGTATTGGTTTGTTTTGTAATGGCATGCAGTATTAATTTTATTTGTGCAGGTCTTAAAAAAGGTCATAAAAGTCTTAAATTTGATTTTAAAACACTGCAGAAACCCTGCACTTGCCTCATAGCCCATTAGATTTGGCCTTACTAGATCAAAAAGTGTTTTCCAGTTTTATGTGCAGATGCATGCAGCCATATGACCAGGTTAAACCAGATAAATCAGCCCCCCCCCCCTCCACCAGGGTTTTCTTGTTATAGCACAGCACCCTTATATTTATTCTTCAATTAAAATTTGATTCTTCAGTTTGTTATTTGGGCAGTAAGTGGGACAGTTTTTCTTGCTTCAGTTTTAAATTTGACAAATTTGCAATATAGCATTTTGTCACAATACTGGAATCTTATTAGAATTACTAGAATTGTTTTAAATAGCTGAGGTAGTCTTGCTGTTATTTAGGCTAGCAGTGTAGATGCAGTGAAATTTGATGCAATTTTGTTTCAATTTTGTTACTGTGTTCACCTGTTCAGATGTCCGGTGCAAAATCTGGGTCCTGAATCAAAACCAGTTGAGAACCAGTTATTTAAAGTATCTTCATTTCTTATTTCTTTAAAACCCTCCTATTGCATTTGGGTCAGTTTTGACCCAGAAGAGGTACATAAAAAAGGAAAGAAAAAGAAAGAACAAAACTTGGGTTAAATGGGCTAACATTATCAAAATAAACATCAATCCTTTTTTTTTTTTTTTTTTTTTTTTTTATGTGTGTTTTTAAAAATGCTTTAAATTGTGTTCCGGTCCGTTTTGACCTGGGTAACAGCTGAAGCGTTACACCATGTAATTCGCACTTTATCCATTTGCTGTATTTGTCTCAAAAACACTTATTGTCTCAAATAACACTTAAAAATATATTTAGCCTCTAAAATCTCACACACTTTTAGTACCGAATTTTGTAACATAAATGTGCATGTACAAAGCCGCTATAAACACATGAAAAGTCTTCTTATGGTTCATAGATCAAGGCAAACCAACCCATGTGTCTTTGAGTGTGTAACAGTGATTCAGCATGACGACAGAATTTGCTGCTCTATAGCCGTATTTATCAAGCCAGATTGGAGAGACGGGTGGTATAGAGAGAGTCTGTGACGGGAGATGGGTCTCTCTCTCTCCGACTTGCTCACACACACCACAATACTGCAGCTCCATCCTCCTTCCTCTGATTGAAACCATGGCAGATGGAGTGCAGCAAATTGGAAGGCAGAACGGTGCTGATCCGAAGCTTGCCTTTTCTCTCTCTGATAAAAATATTAATTTTCAGCTTGGGCTCAAGCCACTGATCGGGGGCACGCGTGTGCTGCTGGGATGATGAAGGCTTTGGAAAGACAGCCAAAGGTCCATGTCCACTTGAAGCCTCTCAGAAGTTCCTCACGGTATCCTTACCTGCCCCTGCTCAGAAAATGAAAGCAGAAACAGTGGAATGGAGAGGAGAATGAAATTATTTTAGAGGCACCCTCTTTTTTTTGTCACTGTCTCTCTGTCCCCATGCTTCTGTTTTACTTTGTATTTTCCAATTTACCTTCTTGCACTGCCCTGAGCTGTTTTACAGACTAGTTCAGAATGCTGTATATGTAGTCTTTCAGATGGACAATGTTCTCCTGGTGTTGCAGGATTGTGTTTTATTGAGCTGGAAGGTGGACAGTCTTTCTCAGTCTCTGTGTAAGAGTTTTGCCAAACAGTGGGTTTCGGGCTGTGCTTTGGTTTCTGCATTTGGGTTTGGGTTAAAATTAATGAACCAAATAATTATTATAATTATAAATTCATAATTATTTTATGCTATACTTGTTTTGTACTGAAAATGAAATCTAAAAGAAAATCAATAGAAAACAAGCAGCGACAAGAAGCAAAAGGGAGAGGACCACAAGTTGGGAACCGAACTCAGGTCGCCCAAGGTGCAACTTCACCACATGCCATAGTGCTTACCCACAAGGCTTCAGCTCTGAATGATTTTTGAGAGCTATGGCATAAGGGAAGCTTAGCAATGAATAATACCTTCAATTTTATCCTGTTCCTTAAGGGGTGGTCACATTTACTGTTGTTCAGCAAATTTTCGTGGGCGAAATACAGTCATTTCAATAGCAGTCCACATGAACAAGAATTTCCGTATGCAGATTCGTGGCCATGAGAATTACAGCTTCACAGCAGCTGCTTGGTTTTAATATTCATAAAAACCTTTTTGTATCCCTGTGTATATACAACACTATGCTTTTTATTCTGAATCACCCTCAGTTGTTTTTTTCCCTTGTACCTTTTCCTTCTGTCATGTATCTCTTGTCTTAATCACTTTCTCACCTTTTGTCTTTCTGTCTTTCTCTCTGTCTCTAAAGTTAACTTAAGTGAAAGCGATGGCAGTGATGCCGAGCTCAGTGAATGCAGCAGTGACAGGAAGACCTTCATGTCTGAGACAGATCAAAGAAGAGATTCCGGTAATACACAACTCCTAAAAATTCACAGCCAAATATACACGGTCACTCCCCACCCACCCACACAAACTCTTACAAACTAATACAACTCCATCTGTCAGATCTACCACATTTCACAGAAAACAAAAATCCCCCTAAAGCTTAGATTTGTTTGTTTTTGCAGCTTGATGCACAAAATAAGCTTTTTTTTTTTCTTTTTTTGAATAAATGCCCACTTTGAACAAAAGATTTTCTAGTGCGCCCAAAGTGGATTATAAAAAGAAAGACTGTTTCCCAAAAATACTCCCATCTTCAGCTGAAATTTTTTATATGAATTTAGAGGGTTTAAAAAAAAATTGTTTTCAATTGTGAACATCTTTGTGCACTCAGAATCGAGTGGAGGCCAAGTGCAAACACCTCTGCAGTCCAGCATCACCAGTCCATCTCAAACCAGCTTTCACATGGAAAGCCCTTCCAGCGTGGCCAGCGAGCAAAGCAGTAGTAGTTTCAATCCGGGTCTGGAGGAAGAGGTCATGGACCATAGTCGACCTTTACTAAGTGAGTGCCCACATGCACGTTTGCTTAGCTACCTAAATGGGGAAATTCCATAGACCTCTGTTGTTTTTTTTATGTGTATATATACAGCTTGTTATAAATACCATAACCTAACACTAACTGTAGCATAAAACTTTTTTACAATTGGGAAGCCCCCAGATGAAGGTTTTGTCACATTTGGCTCACTCCTGGGCACAGATATGTCCCCAAAATATGTTTGTGCATGCACACAAACACTCGGACACACTCGTCTTTTCCCCTTAGAGCCAAGTAACACTGACAGCTGTACACTAAATAGGGTGGTCTGTCCTCTGTCCTCTTTTGAAATACTCATACTAAAGGAGGGATACGCCTTTTTGTCAGTGTTTGCTAATTCAGGTTATCACTATTACTATTGCTCATACTTTTTTCAAAACCTTATTACCTGCATTGACAAGGAAACTGAGCCATATCTAAGGACCTTGGTGTTGGCTCTTTTGACTTGTGCTAGTAAGCAACTACCCAGAACAGCTTAGCAACCTCATAGCAACATTTGGATTGGATGCATTGTCACATTAGACAATGTATTAATAAACAGAGTAAGGAATGTCAGGTGATCAAATACTCTTAAAAAAAATAAAAAAATAAATAAAGGTTACAAAAGTGGGTTTTCACAGTATTGCCATAGAAGAAACATTTTGGGTTCCCAAAGAACATTTCAGTGAACAATTCCCAAATAAAACCTTTTTTTATTTTCTTAGTGTAAAGAGCATTTTAATCCTGTAAATACACTTTTTACCCTAAAGGTTCTTGGAACCATAGATGCCAATGCCAATCCTTTGTTTTTAAAATTATAGTAGAGTGCACATAATCAAAGTTTATTTTTTTGGCCAAGAGCAAATTACTTTTCATGCATCTCTCATTATTTGCTGTTTCATTGTCCACCTCTGTATATCTTTCTTTGCCTTAAGGAGCTTAAATTCCCACTTTCTCTGGTTAAAAAAAAACTAAACAAAAAACCAAATAGCCCTCATTATTCCAATGATATTGTGCATCTTGCTCGAGCTCTCTCCAATTTGTACCGCTTACTTTCAGAGATAAGAACCCCTACACACAGGCTTCGGCAAGCTTAGCATGAGGTGTGATATCTTCCTACCCTCTGTGTTAATGATAAAACTTTCAAATGTCAATGCCCGACATAAAGGAAACATAATTAAAGCCTTTTACTGTCATAGTTATGGGCTGAGCACTGAAGTTCCATGTCCCTGCTGTTTTTGTTGCCATTTCTTTTATAATTCTTCTTCTGGCTGGGAGTCTATAACAGCCCTCAGAACGGTTTGCAGAAAAGTTATCAAATTTGGCACATTGATTGTGGTGGGTCTGAAAGTCCCCTGACTCATTTGTGGGTCTCTCAGTCAGAGCCTTTAGCAAAACTAGAAGTTTAAAGTTTCTTCTGCTTCAAACATTAAAAAAACGTTTGGTCTAATAACAGAATTCTTCCTTGGCTTTCTCTCTTCATCTTGAGTTAACTGAATCATGCGTTTTAATTTCTCCTTCAAAGCATGTTCTTCACATGATGTTCAGACTAATGTTCAGAATCTTAAAAGCATAGTTAATCCAAAAAATATATTTACTTCCCCTCATGACATTTCAAGCCTATGACTTTCTTTTTTCTGAGGAACATAAAAGAGGATATTTTTGAGAAATGTCTCAGTGTCCATTCAGTGGAAGTCAGTGGTCACCAGAAATGTTTAGTTACCAAACATATTTCAGAATATTTCCTTTTGTGTTGTGCAGAAGAAGTCATACAGTTTTAGAATGGCTTGTGGTTGAGTTATTTTTAAACTGTTCATGTGCTTGAACTAGAACTAAATTATTTTTTGAACTAGGCATGTTGTGTAAAGTATCTGCAGCTCCTTGTTCATCTGTGTAGTTTGATGATTTTAAAATGTCTCCAGCCATGTTAAAACTGCATTAACTCCCTTAGGGATTTTAATATAATCTGTAAATTTTGTGTATCCCAACAGGTCTTGTTGGTTTACAGTGAAGGCGAAATAAGAGGATGCAAATGTTCCTCTGAGAACCAAGCAGCATTTATAACAGCCTGGCCTCTGTTTGTCATTAATCACCTTATGTAATGTGCAGGCGTGCAGTCACCATGCACTCTCATTCATTTTCATTATGCCTTGTTTGCTAGCCAGCTATAGTCATAGCCAATGAGGCTGTGGAGATGTTCTCTCATCCAAGGTCAGGCCTGTGACTTTTTGCTTAAACCTACAGAGCCCCACACAACTTGCAAAAAAATAATTAAATAAAATAATAAAATAAATTTGAAATTGTGAATTAAGAATTTATCCAACTATTTATTAATTTGGCCCCTCGTTTTAGTTAAATAGTGGCCGCAAAGTAATACAAAGATTTTTTTTCTAGTAAAGGCATTTAAATTGTTGTAAAACATTTCTGTTTCAAATAAATGCTGTTATTTTTTTAACATTTTATCAAAGACTTCTGAAAAAAAATCCACAAAAATATTAAGCAGCACAACTGTTTTCAACATAATAATTATACAAAATGTTTCTTGAGCACCAAATCAGCATATGAGAATGATTTCTGAAGGATCATGTGACACTGAAGACTAGAGTAATGATGCTGAAAATTCTGCTTTGCCAAATTACACTTAAAATTATTGCTGGGCAACGATTAAACAATTAATATATGTGTGTGTACTGTGTATATTTATTATGTATATATAAATACACATACATTATATATTTTTGAAAATATTTACATGTATTTACATGTATATATTTATATTCATATAATTTATATTATATATAAATATATTTAATATATAAACATACATTTTTCTTAAATGTATACATGCATGTGTGTGTATTTATATATACATAATAAATATACACCGTACATACTAATATACTATGTAAACAAAAACTTTTTTTTGCCCAGCACTACTTAAAATATAAAATAGTTATTTTAAATTGTAATATTTGACAATATTACTGTATTTTTGATCAAACAAATTAAGTCTTGGGGGGGGGGGGGCATAAGAAACTTATTTTCAAAAACATAAAAAAATGGTAAGTAATATAAAAATGCAATGTTAAGAACATTGTTTTCAGCTGCTAATTTAAGTGTATAGCTGTCTTTGTCACATAGATGTATAGAATTTACAGTGTTTGCAGGAAGAACTCCCATAATACATGTGTTTCTGATATTGTTGCTGCTTTCTTCAAACAGCCACCAGTATTTTAAGATCTAACAGCTTTTATCACACCGTATGATAAATCTGATTTGTCAAAATGATTTACACTGGCTCATAATTGGATGGCCGATTCCGCTCTTCTCTGACATGTAAAAGCTCTCTGTAAACAAGCACCAACAACACATTGTAATAGAGGCAGTGAGATGACCGAAATTACCCGTGTCCCCTTCTCTCTCCATTTTCTCCAGCTTTCTGCTGCTAATGTGCCATGTGTCCAGTCTATTTCACTCTAGGCTGATTTTTTTTGTTTTGCTTATCTTCATAAACATCATTATTGTGTCTTTAAAATGGTTGTAAATTTAAGAAAGAAGCCATGATATTTAAAAGTTTACTGACAATATAGTCTTTTTTTCCCCTTGCGAGTGGACATATTATATCTCTCTCAGAATAGCTGTGATGTGTGTCTGCTGATGTAACTATCAAAACATAATACATGCATATTTTTATAGGTGCTATGGTAAGATGGTCCTCTGAAAAATACATGTAAATATCAGTTCTCAACATTTTAGTGACCCCAACATTGTGTTTTAAATGCCAGGTAAATACACCATTCATATATACCATTTTTAAGTGGAGATATGGAATACTGGAAAGATGTTTCCCTGCTTGTTTTAAGATCCGTGATACCATTTTTTGAGATGTTCACAGATATGTGTACTCACTGCGCATTATTTTTAACAATAATAACACGTTATTTTAAACATTAAGGGTAGTATGATTCATTTTCAGTTTAAAATCTGCTTTAAAATCCTGAAGCAGTATCACAGAATGTGATGTATTAGCATAAAACGTTTAATATTTATGCTAAACGAAAAAGGGCACAAATGAAATCCTAGTGCATAATTTTCACTTCATTAAAATGGTAATTATAGGAATTTCATGTTTTTCAGGTTGATAATTTTAGACCTATAAATTGTGAAAAAGGAGCCCATATGAACCTGAATCTAAATTACCAAATGCACTGTCCCTTTAATTGTTTTTCCTCATTTTGTGTTGAGTATTTAAATTATGTTTAAAGCATCAGTTACGTGTGGGAAAAGAATAGAGAGAAAAGTACTAACTACAGCTGTGTTCACACACAGTTTGGTCATAAATGAGATTGACACCACATTTCAAGTCAACTAATTCTTTTGCGTTTTTTAGGACTTGTAAATGCATTTTCTGTCACATCATACAGTGTTCTCATACATGTCACCTGCACCTACTTGTCACTGTCTCTATGGTTACAGGGGTAATAATGTGTATCGCAAGAAAAGAAAAGGGGCTTGACTTCAGTTATTTGCTTTGACAGAACACATTCAAGATGGTTCTGTATGAACGGGACAATTCAGGGGTTACATCTGATAAATTCTCTTCTCAGTCCCAAAGTGAAAGTGACGTGTGGCCAAGTATGGTGTCCCATACTCAGAATCTGTGCTCTGCATTTACATTTAGTCATTTAGTCATTTAGCAGACGCTTTTATCCAAAGCGACTTACAAATGAGGACAATAGAAGCAATCAAAACTAACAAAAGAGCAACAATATGTAAGTGCAAATGACAAGTCTCGGTTAGCCTAACGCAGTACACATAGCAAGGTGAGTAGTGAACACACACATACACCGTGAACACACACCCGGAGCAGTGGGCAGCCATTTTTGCTGCGGCGCCCAGGGAGCAGTTGGGGGGTTCGGTGCCTTGCTCAAGGGTCTCATCTGTCGTGGTATTGATGGTGGAAGAGAGTGTGTCATTATCCTTGGCTC